ATATTAGTTATTATATTGGTGATTAAAAGTTATTGAGTAGTTTATTTTATGAAAGAGAATTAGTTTGTTTTGGTAAGATTTGGTATATTTGAGAGAGGAGATATATATATGCACCTGTTTGCTAATATTTCGTTAATTTCATCAGCCAGTTTCTTTCTTAATGGTAGTTTCTTGTATGGTAGTAGATTGCTCTAGTTCTATTTTATAATTTCTTCAAAAGATGCTTATCCTACTTACGTTGTTTAATCACATTATTACTGTTGAGTTAAAACAAAATCAAGTCATCTTAATCTGCTCAGTTGGTAATTTGGGGTACTACTTGAAAATCATATCCAATCAGTAGAATAGAATAAGTAAAATCAACATTTCCAGTTGATCTGACATAAATGATTCTATCTCAAGCAGTTCTGTTCAAAATGTGGTTGGTAGGCTGGTAACAGGTCAGTATCATCTTGGAGTTGGTTCGAAATAAAAATTCATGGATCCCACCCCAGACTTATCAAATTGAAATCTCTGGAGGTGTGATCCAACAATCTGTGTTTGACAAGCTTTTCAAATACTCAGATACAGTTAAGTTTAAGAAGTAGTGGTGGTGTAAAATTGTATTTGTTGTTGTTGTTAAGTGCCATCAAGTCTGTTCCAACTCATAGCGACTCTGCATAGGATTTCCAAAGAATGTCTGAACTGCGGATCTTGTGATTAGCAGCCCAGTGCTTATCCTACAGTGCCACACTTGGGCTCCAAAACTGTATGTGGTACATACTAATTAGACATTAGATGCAGTGAGGAACCAGAAAAGACTTAGTCACTGCACACAGAGAAGGCAAAAATAATTCACACATAAATTAGAGAATAGGAGCAAACATGCTGCAGGTAATAAGTGTGTAGCAAGCATTTGGAGTAACATGAATTTAGTTTAAGTTCATTGCGTCCCATGAGGAGCCAGCTACTGTATACTAGGGATTCAGGAGTGAAGGTGCTCTTCCTGCTTCCTGGCTTAGTCTAGCAGGGGAGACAGACCAGTGCTGTGACAGTGATGTTCCCCAGGATGCTCTGGGAGCAAAGGAAGAGCAAGTAGGTAATCCTGCTTTGGGGGCTGACTGGCCTCAGACCTGGCCCCTACTACTTAATGATCTTTGAATAGATTCTGTGGTTAAGAAGTTAGCCAGATAGAAAAATGAGTGCTAAGAAGGAAGGACCAAAAAAAGTGTTCATGGGCCGCCAAAAGAACCAATAGATCTGTGTTCGGCCTAATAGAATGTTTTCTGACAAGTGTATGGTCTGTGTGGGGAATGGAGAGAGAGGAGACTAGAGACGACAGAGGACAGATTTAAAGAGTGATAGGCCACACAAAGGGATTTTGTCCTGAAACACTGAGGATTAAGAATTTTAAGGTGTAAGTTCTGATTTTTAGAAAGGTAATTTTGATAGCCATGAAGAGGAATAGCATAAAACTTTACTGGAGTTTATTACAGATGTCAAGTAAAAAATCGTGAGGGCCTACACCAAGGAATGGAGTAACTGGTAATTCACCCTTTTATATACACTTGTGCCTGCACCCAACTAGGGCTAGATAGGTACTGATATAAATGTATTTAAGAGGGTGACTAAGAAGACTGCAGAAAAATTGTTGCATTTGAGTTATGGTGTTATAAAAGAATATTGAAAGTACCATGGACTGTCAGAGAAACAAACAAATACATGTTGGAAGTCCAGCCAGACTGCTCCTTAGAGGCAAGGATGGTGAGACTTCATCTCTTATCCTTTAGATATATTGCCAGTAGGAACCAGTCCCTGGAGAAGGATATTATGCTTGGTAAAGTGGAGGGTCAGTGAAAAAGAGGAAGACCCCCAACAAGGTGGATTGGTACCATGGTAGCAGCAATGGGCTCAAGCGTAACATAGTTGTGAGGGTGGTACAGGGCTGGGTAGTGTTTTTGTCTGTTGTGAGTTGATGGCACCTAACAACAACATCAAGAGAGTGAATAGATGGTTTAGTGTGCAGTTGGCTATGGGAAAGGAAGGGGACAGTGTTAACAATGAGCTACTACATTTCTAGGTTGGGCTGCTGGGTAAATCGTAATACTATTCACAAGTGGCGAATATAGATGGTAGAGTTATTTTACGAGGTATATTGTGACATACTGCATTGACATAGTAAAAGGACCATTACTCTGTTATCAACAATGCATGGAATTAACTTTTTTGGCCAGTCTTGTACTTCTTTTCTGATAGTCTTTCAAAGCTTTTTTTCTTAGTTTGTCATATAGGACAACTTTTACTCATAAGTTCTTTTTGAATACACTAGTATTTATATTAGCAACCTGTGATATGCAGATGACACAACCTTGCTTGCTGAAAGTGAAGAGGACTTAAAACATTTACTTATGAAGATCAAAGAGCACAGCCTTCGATATGGATTACATCTCAGTGTAAAGAAAACAAAAATCCTTACCACTGGACCAATAAACAACATTCTTATCAATGGAGAAAAGATTGAAGTTGTCAAGGACTTCGTTCTTCTTGGATCAACTATCAACACTCATAGAAGCAGCAGTCAGGAAATCAAATGATATGTTGCATTAGGCAAATCAGCTTCACAAGACCTTTTAAAAGTGTTGAAGAGCAAAATGTCAGCTTGACGACTAAGATGCACCTGACGCAAGCCATGGTATTTTCAATAACGTCATATGCATGCGACCCAAGCCATAGTAATTTTCAGTAACATCATATGCATGCGAAAGCTGGACAATAAATAAGGAAGACTGTAGTAGAATTTTTGCTTTTGAATTATGGTGTTGGAGGAGAATATTGAAAGTGCCATGGGCCACCAAAAGAACCAATAGATCTGTGATGGAAGAAGTACAGCCAGAGTGCTGCTTTGAGGCCAGGATGGCCAAACTGGAGAAGGATATCATGTTTGGTAACGTGGAGGATCAGAGAAAAAGAGGAAGACCCCCCCAACGAGATGGATTGGCCAAGTGGCAGCATTAATGGACTCAGGCATGGCAACAGTAGTGAGGTTGGCCCAGAATCGGGCAGCGTTTCGTTCTGCTGTGCATAAGGTTGCTATGAGTCAGTACCGACTTGATGGCACCTAACAACAACAAGTATTTATATGGGGAGTGCAGTGGCTCTAGAGGTTAAGCACTAGACTGTGTAGCCCACCAGCCACTCCATGGGAGAAAAATTAGGCTTTCTGCTCCTGCAAAGATATATAGCCTTGGAAACCCTATACAGGGTCCCTATGAATCAGAACAGACTCAATGGCACTTAGCAACAGCAACAACAGTATTTCTGTTTAGACATCCAGTGTTGAGAGAATAGGGTATATAGCAATACACTCATTCAGATTGCCACCTGCTTTGCCTCCCCTTGTTTCCTGAACAAGGAACTTATATCAGGTGAGATGGCATTAGTAAATGCAAGGGCAACTTGGGGGTCACCATAACTTGTGTTGTCAGTATATTAAGGGTATCAGATAATTTTCTGGCCCCAATTTCACAGATCCACTTTCATTGTAATTTGAATTAACTAGAAAATCATCAGATCCTGAATATTAATTAATGCATAACAGGTATTACCAGAAGCAATATTGACTGATTATAGTGGAAACAAAATGTTAACTCGACATATTTGTCTCATTGTTACTAAACCTATTTGGATCTTTGAGGATTAGCCTGTAAAATCCGAGGTCTTTCCAGCTCTAACATTCTTTGATCCTGTAAGAAAGACGAGGTTTTTGTTTTGTCTAGGAGAATCTTGCCTTTTAGATGAAGGCAGCAGTATATGTTAGAAAGAACTAACTTGAGAGTGTTAATAGCTGAGTTTGAATCGTAGGCAGAGCCCTTAACCTGCATAGTGATTATGTGTTCCTTAACAATTAGACCATGATCTACTTTAAAGAATCCCTTCTAACTTTATGTGGTTGCAATATTGCTGTTGTTAAGTGCCATCAAGTCAGGACCAATTCATAGCAACCCTATGTACAACAAAATACAGCACCGCCCAGTCTTGTGCCGACCTCTCAATTGTCGCTATCCCTGAGACCATTGTGCCAATCCATCTCATTGGGGGTCTTCCTCTTTTTCTCCAACGCTTCATCTTACCAAACATGGTGTCCTTCTCCAGGGACTGGTTCCTCTTGATAATATATTTGAAGTATGGCAGACAAAGTCTGGCCATCCTGACTTCCAAGGAGCACTCCGGCTGTACTTCTTCCAATACAGATCTATTTGTTCTTTAGGTGGTCCATAGTACTTTTAATATTCTCCTCCAACACCATAACTCAAATGCGTCAGTTCTATGGTCTTCTTTATTCACCGTACAACTTTCACATGCATCTGAAGTTGCTGAAAATACCATGGCTTGGGTCAGGTACATGTTGCTCCTCAAAGAGGTATCTTTGTTCTTGAACACTTTCAAGGGGTCTTGTACAGCAAATTTGCCTAATGCAATATGTTGTTTGATTTCTTGACTGCTGCTTCCATGAGTGTTGATAGTTGATCCAAGCAAAATGAAGTATTCGACAACTTCAATCTGTTCTCCATTTATATGGATGTTGTTTATTGGTCCAGTGGTGAGGATTTTTGTTTTCTTTACATTGAGGTGCAGTTCATACTGTGAGCTCCAGCATTGTTGTTATCAACAGTGTTATATTTTCTACCTTCACATTCTTCTTCTTTGTTGCCATAGTCTCCATTTATAATAATTTCCAGTGCATCTTTATGGCAAGTTTGATCAATTTCAAACTGGAGAAGGTGGTAGAATTCTTTCAGTTTCATCATCATTGCCCTTAGTATTTGGTGTGTAAATTTGAATAATAATTATATTAACTGGTCTTCCTTGTAGGCATATGGATATTATTGAGCAAACCCACTTGTCTGTCAGTTTGTCATAGACAGACTTGTACCTCAAGCTACATCTTGAAATGTTGTTTTTGTCAGTGAATATGATACCATACCTCTTGAATTTGCCCTTCCTGGCATAGTAAACCATATGATTCTCAAATTCAGAATGGCCAATATCATCCATTTCAACTCAGTAATGAGTTAGAATATCTTTATGAGTTCTGTTTCCATTTTTGACAACTTTCTGTTTTCCTAGATTCATACTTTGTACATTCCATGTTCCAAATATTAATTGATGTTTGCAGCTATTTATCCTCATTTTGAGTTGTGCCCCGTTAACAAATACATTTGCATCATTATGGTCAACTCCACTTTGAGAAGGCAGCTCTTCCCCAATTGTATTTTGAGTGCCTTCCAACCTGAAGGACTTTTCTTCCAGCACTATATCTGACAGTGTTCTGTTGCTGTTCATAAAGTTTTCAGAGGCCAACCATTCAGAAGTCCATCTGCCTCTCCTTCTTCCCAGTCTCTCCTAGTCTTTCTAATCTGAAAGCTTAGCTGAAACATGCCCACCATAGTTGATGCTGCTGGTATTTAAAGTACTGGTGGCATAGCTTCCAAAATCATAGAAACATGCTGTGACAAACTGACGGACAAGTGGGGTCTGAACAATAGTAACTTTTTAACACTTAAGTACCACTTTTGACAATAAAGGCTTTGTAAATGTTATCTGTAACTTGTAGAACAGCTTTGCAATATGGGTATTAACATCTCCATTTTCTGAATGAGGAAATTGAAGAGGCTAGGCAGTTTACCCAAGGAGCCAAGATTTACACCATATCTTCAACATTTTTCTTACTGTCATGCAAATACTTGAATGATTGATGTTGTAAAGATAGTAACTTTATTGTATTACTATAATTTATTGCTGGTAAAGATAGTAACTTATTTTTATTACTATAATGATTGCTGATAAAGTGGAGGGTGGGAGGGGGGAAGAGGAAGACCTTCACCGAGATGATAGATTGACACAATGGCAGCAGCAGTGGGCTCAAATATAATAATTGTGAGGATGCCGCAGGACCAGGAAGAGTTTCGTTTTGCACAGGGTTGCCATGAGTTGGAATCGATTCAACAGCACCTGTAGTGAGGAATATAGAATGAAAAATTTGAAATTTTGAAAACAAATAAATAAATGAAATGTCTTCTTTTCTGGAAAAATCTATCAAGGAGAGAATAAAGAGTATTTCCAAATAACAAATAGAAATAAAATTGACCATCTTCTTTAAAAGTTATTTTCATGTATATCCAAGGACTTCTTTTGCCTAAAGTTTAAAAATTTAAATTTAAGCCTAAAGCTTAAAATAATCCTTTCACATTTACTTGGTACTCAACATTTTACCAAAGATTTGAAATATGTGTGGAGAAGTAGGGCATAGAGATATATATTCTGACTGATACTCAAAATAAGGTGATAAAATACATGTTCAAATCTTAAAGAGAAAAAAACTTCTATTTGATCTGAAATTTTTTATGTGCTTTTTATTAGCTTATTTTAATTAATTCCCTAATATTTTTAATCAGTTAATTCTGATGATATTATCTGGAGATTAATTGTAGCACATATAAATCACAAGTTTTAAATTTTGAAATGAAGCATAGCATTTTAGCATTATGCTTAGTTATAAACTGACTTTATAATTACTACATTTTAAACAGGGTCAGAGCAGTCGATTTTTTTCCTTTACTTTTGTATAGATATAAAGTATTTGCATTTGCCACACTCTCAGAAAATTAAATGAACTAAAGACCTTCTTCTGAAGGGTGTATTGGGTGACTTCAGAGGCCTAAAAGATGTATACCTATGCTAACTGAGCTGTATTAATTCAACTTTTGCCTCATCACAATTAATTTATGTATCTTTATGTTGTCCCTGCCCTAGGTGTAAATGCTGACAAGGTTGGAATTGAAGCTGCTGAAATGCTATTAGCAAATCTTAGACATGGCGGTGCTGTGGATGAGTATCTGCAAGACCAGGTAATGATGTGTATAAGATAAAAACCTATTAGATTTGAATATTTGGTAATTAGATTAAATATAGATTTTTAATCATTGTCTTTCAGAAACTAATTATCAAGTCCTAGTTTAGTTTTTAAAGTTTTCTGGAATTAATATTCCACAAATTTCAGTTCTCATCTTACTTGGCCATTGTATAACATTCAGCACAGTTAAATAACTTCTAATTTCTGGAAACCTTTTCTTCGCTTGCTTTCTGAAGCTTGATGTATGTATGTGTGTATATATATTTATTTATTTATTTATTTCCCCCATCTTCCCTTATAGGTGACCAGTGTGGTCACCAGCCAGACCACATGCCTGCTCATGTATTCCCTTGAGTCTCAGTCTTGGAAGGGGGTTTACTCTGAGGGGTCCCGACCACTTGCCTTGATGGCGCTCAGTCAAACAGCTTATTTGTTCTTGTAGTAATAATCAGTCAGACTGCTGTTACTCTTTCGGATTTTTCCTGCCGGACTTTCTTTCACGAAGTAACTTCTGTTCTTCTAGCTGCTCCAGGCTGGTCTACTTGTCCTTTCAAGTGGAAATTTCCTACCTCAGTTGGTTCTGGATGGGGTTCTGAATTCCACCTATGGTCTTATGCAGTGTAAAGGTGCCATAGGAAGCCTCTTTGACTGGGCAACTTCTAGCCCCCTTTAAGGTATTCTAAGGAGTTCTGGTAACGTAGTGGTTACGAATCAGGCTGCGAACCTTAAGGTCAGCGGTTCGAAACTACCAGCCACTCCGCGGGAGAAAGATGAGGCTTTC